GTCCTAAAGGTAGAGGTAACAGAGGCTCTTCCCTGAACAGAGGGAGAGTTTGACCAGCAATTGATGGGCTGGGGGGGGGGGGGTAGCCAGAGAAGGGGGGTTCAAAGGGGGTCCTTTTTACTCATGTAAGAACTACGTGTTGAGGACCTACTGTGCGCAAGACACTGTACCAAGTCCTGGGAGCAGAGCAGGGGCAAGACAGAGGCAGGCCTTGCTCTCATAGAGCTTGTGACCTAGAGAGGGAAACAAATACTTATTATACAAATAAGTGATTCTTTACAATTTGATAAGCACTTGCTGGGGTCGGCTGCTCTGACTTTGCTCTGTGGAAATGCCTGCATGGGCCAAAAAACAGACTTGGCCGTAACGAACTGAGAGAAGAAATGTCCCGTTTATAGATTGTCTTGGCAGGGGAGGAAGTGGGTTCAAGGTTCAGCAATTCTTAGGGGTCCGGGTCTGAACTTTTCCCTTGCCTCAGAGAAAAGGAGAATTGGGTGTTTCCTTCATGCATTCAATAAATATTTATTGTGCTAAATGCCATCCCCGGTACTGGGGATACAACAGAAAATGAAACAGACAAGGCCCCTACCTTACTGGAGTTGATATTCTAGAGAAGGGAGACAGCAAAAAAACAAGTAAACAAACAAGTAAATAAGATACTTTCAGAGGGTGAGAAGTTCCAGGAGGAAAATAAAGCGGGGAGATGTGCTGAGGCGTGAGGGATGGGAGCAAAGGGCTGCCTTGGCAAGGGTAGTCAGGGAAGGCTTCTTAGAGGAGGTGACTTCAGAGATGGAGCCAGCTGTATGAAGATCACAGGAGATTCCTCCAGGGTGTGGGAACTGCACAGTCCTGGATTTTAATCCCCAGCCCAGTGGCCTTGCCAGGGATTTTCAGGGGCCTTGTCTGGGGTCCCTAGCCCCAGGTCTAGCTCCAGTTCAGGGCCAGGGTCACCGAAACAGCCCTAAGGGCCGCATCTTGGGATGCGAGCCTGGTGTTCCTGTAGGTTTGCCAAATGCAGATCCTGAAGACTCTTGCTCTGTGCCGGGTTGTAACCCTCAGAGGCTGTGGTAGCAGAGCCAAGCAGTAGGGGGCGTTCACCTCTCAGCCCCAGGGGGCTCCAGGCTCAAGCCAAGGGGTTGTTGAAGGAGAGGCCTCTTTTACTCCTACAGCATACATTTATTAAATGCCTGCTGTATACAAAGCAAGGTGGCAGGCACTGTGGGGGTGGGGTGGAGGTAGACAACAAGCAAGGAAATAGCAAGGTCCCTGCGTCTGAAGAGGAGAAGATAGAACAAGGGTTGAGGGAATTTGGGGGAGGAAGTGGTCCCTTCTGGCTTGGTGGTCAGGGATGCCCTGAGGGCTGCTCTCACGGGACAGGCAGCAGAAGGAGCGCAGCAAAGCTGCCACCTCTACTGGAGTCAGCCTCAGCCTGACCCAGGGAGACTCTGATCTGCACCAGAGTCCACCCCACCTTGAGCAAGGGGCCTGGCTTTCTGTGCCTGTGTCAGTCAGGCACTGACTGCCATGGGCTGGGGCTGGGAAGAGGGACATAACCTCCAGGTACCTCTGGGCAGGGTGGCCACTGTTCTGTCAAGAGCACTCTCTGGAGAAAGGGACAGCTGTGAGCAACACTCAACAGCAGCTTAGGTTGGGTGCCCTGCCCCCACCCTCTGTCTATGGGTGTTGGGCAGTTCACATGTGTCCCCTTGAGCCCAGGGGAGAAACTGAGGCTGAGCTGCTTGCTGGGAGACCGTCCTCTCTCCTTCCTCTTTCTCCACCCATCCTGCGGGTCAGGCACAGATGGCGACCCAATGTAGCTCTTTCTGCCTTGACCCTGGGGCTGCACTGACCCCTGTGAGTGAGGTCAGGTTGGAGAGATTCTGCCCAGAAGGCAGGGGCCTTCTTCCTCCACCTCTACCCCCTCACTGGCCATGCTCAAGTGCCCATGCCTTTCCTTTCAGCCATCCCTCTCACTGCTTATGGACCAATGGCAGCAGCAGCGGCTGCAGCAGCTGTGGTTCGAGGGACAGGTGAGGCCTTCCGGGGTGCAGGAAGTGAGGGAAGGGGGGGCAGAGAAGTCTGGGGGGGAGGGGAGGTGGCCATTGCCACCCCTTGGCAGAGTGACTCATTCATTCATTCACTCAACCAGTATTAACTGAGCACCTACTCTGTGCTGGCCATTGTGCATGCACCAGTGAGCCAGCGCGAAACAAGACTCACAGGGTCTCTGCCCCCTAGAGCTTATAGGCTGCTGGGAACATCAGTATTAAAAAGGCAATAATACTGAAGGAGGTTGCTGTCCCTATGGGGAGAGTCAGGTACCAGGAGAGCTCCCAGGAGGGGCCTCTAGGGAAGGCCAGGGAGGACCTCCAGGAAGAATGGCCTCTTAACTTTGGATTTAAAAGCAAAGAGGAGGAAAAGTGTTTCTGGCTAAGGGAATAGCATGTGTAAAGGCTTGGAGGCCAGTTAGTGTGGGTCGAGTGCAGGAGAGGAGAGAAGGAGGCAGGAGGAGCCAGGTCTCGGGGAGACAGTGGACATTTCAAGCAGCAGATGATATAGATCAGGATTTAGAAGATGCACTCAGCTGCAAGATGGGGAAAGGCTGAAAGGGGCTCAAGAGGGGAAGCTGCTGAGTGGTCAGGCAGGAGGTGATGGGGGCCTGGGCTGGGGATGGTGGGTGGATGGACTTGCTGGGATACAGGGGTCAAAGTCAGGGTGGGTGGAACAGGTTGAAGGGGGTGCCGTGGGGTGGCAGCGCCGGGGCTATCACCGTCTTCTTTCTGGGTTGCCAGGCTCTCACCCCTGGACGATGGCTCCCCCTCCAGGTTCAACTCCCAGCCGCACAGGGGGCTTCCTGGGGACCACCAGCCCTGGCCCCATGGCTGAGCTCTATGGGGCGGCCAACCAGGACTCGGGGGTCAGCAGTTACATCAGTGCCGCCAGCCCCGCCCCCAGCACCGGCTTTGGTCACAGTCTTGGGGTGAGTGGCCAGGCCTGGTGGCCTCCACCTCACCTGCCTCCCTAGGAGACCCTAAAGTTGGGGGAGGGAGAGGCCTGGTCTGTCTGTATTTGGGGGCAAAAGGAGGGGTGAGTGATGATGGAGAAAGAAAGTGTCACTAAAGGGGGGACGATGGGGGTTATCATTCATTTAGTGGGCATTTAATCATCACCCTCTGTATGCTGCATTGTGCAAATGAGACAAACTGCATCTCTGCCTGCATAGAGGTTAGATTCCAGTTCAGGGGTACCCTGGTTTTAGTCAGGGTACTGGTTATATGCATATTCCCAGGCCTTACCCCAGAGAATCTTTTAGCAGCTCTGCAGTGGGGGCAATGTGGGCAGGGTAGATGGAGGAGCAGGGTCTGTGCCTCACCCCAGGTTTCCTGCAGGAGAGAGAAGGAGCCCGTGGGCTTTCTCTACTTTCCCCAGGAATCTAGGAGTCAAATTCTTTTCTTTCCAGGGCCCCTTGATTGCCACAGCCTTCACCAATGGGTACCACTGAAGCAGGGGACAGGTGGCAGGTGAGGTGGTGTGGAGGGGTGTGGGGGAAGCACTGGGGAAGCTGATCCTGGGGGATCTGATCTGGGACACAGTCCCCATCCTTGCCCTCGAAGAACCCACAGGGCACTGGGGGAGACCGACCTTTATACCAGCAATGGTCAATAAACACAAAAAACTGCTTAACCTGCTACATTTTAAAATATAAATTAAAGCAACAATATGACATTACATACCCCAGTATGGGAAAGATATTTTAAGAATGATAACGCCCAGTGTTGGAAACAGTACATAGATTGGGTCAGGCTTCCAAGGGGCAGTCTGGTAATGTTTATCCAGGTTTTAAATGTTCATGCTTTCTAACCCAACAATTCCACTCCAGGTATTTATTTATTTATTTATTTTATTTTATTTTATTTTCGGCAGCTGGCCCATATGGGGATCTGAGCCCTTGACCTTTGTGTCACAACACTGTGCTCCAATCGACTGGGCTAAGGGGCCAGCCCCTGGTATTTATTTTTAGAACTGCAAATAACTGATATGTCCATCAAAAGGAGAGTGGTTAAATAAATTAGAGTGTATGCACACAATGGAATATTACACAGCTATTAAAACAGGATTCTGTTGACACACGGGCCGTACACACAGTTATCACAGCGTTCCCGTGACATTTCGTTTATTCACTCTTATTCACTCGTGCGTGCAAACACATATTTATCGAGCCCTATTCCAGGAGAGTGAGGGAAGAACAAGACGGACAAGGCCCTGTGTCACTCTACAGGCGAAAATCAAATCAAGTGAACCAATGAGATCATTGCCAGTAGTGCGTGAGGGGCTATTTCAGATTAGGGACGCAGGGCAGGCAGCCCTGAGAGAGTGATATTTGAATAAATCCAGCCATTTAAAATCCGGGGAAGGAGCGATGCAAGCAGGAAACAGAAAGTGCGAAGTCTGAAAACAAATCTTCCGGGAGGGGATTAGGACAGGACACTGGGGGTCCCAGGGAGAGGCGGGGCGTGTCAGAGAGAGTGATATTTGAATAAATCCAGCCATTTAAAATCCGGGGAAGGAGCGATGCAAGCAGAAAACAGAAAGTGCGAAGTCTGAAAACAAATCTTCCGGGAGGGGATTAGGACAGGATACTGGGGGTCCCAGGGAGAGGCGGGGCGTGTCATCTGCCCCCGTAACCGTCCGCTGTGTCCCCAGCGTCCCGGCCTGCAGCTGACTGAGGACCACGAGTGAGCCAGCGAGGGGGCGGGGACACCTCAGCCGCAGCCGCCGCCTCCTCCCCCCGCAGCGACTCGGACCGCTACTGCCTGCGCCCCACTCCCGGCCCCAACATCGTCTGGCTCCCTACTAACCTCCCCCTATTCTGCCCTTGCCCCCCCATCCCCACCCGCCCCGCTCCCTGCCCGCTTTTATTTATTTTGGATTAGCCGGTTGCCCACCACCCCTGTTCTGCCCTCTTGGGACTGCACCCCTCCCTCCCTGCCGTGCCCCCATAGGACTGTCCCCCAACCCCCAGAAGGCTTTTGTATTTGTGCATAGCTAGAGTGAGGGTGGAGGGAGCCTGCTACAGGCTGCAGCCCCAACCCCTGTTTTTTATTCTGATTGTCCCTCCTTTATGCTTTCCTTTTTTTTTTTTTTAAGAAACCGTTTTTAAACTATTTCTAGGTTTGTGAATGTGAAGCCCCAGGCCGCAGGGGGCAAGGGGCCAGGTGCCCCCCACAGCTGAGAACAAAGTGTCTATGTGGGTGTGGGCCCCTGGCCACCTCCCTCCAGCCCTGGAGAGGAGGGCAGGGCTGCGGGTAGGCCAGGCCGAGCCCCTGGAACATCCCGTCCTGTATCATATGTAAATACTGTGAGGTGAAGCCCCCACCCCTCTCTCAGATCCCTTGGGTGAGGGCATTGCCTCAATGTCCTGCCAGGCAAAGGTCTCCCCCCCTCGCCTGTCTCTGTCCCTTCCTCAGACACCGTTACTGTAAGCTTGCAGGTCTCAGCTGTGGCCACGGTAGGCTCGCTCTCTTAAGCCCTTGGGGTCCAGGCCTTGGGCCTGCTCACCCCGAAAACCCAGTGTTGGACCAGGGGCGAGGGAAGAGAAGGGCTTGCCCAGAGCCACTGCTGGAAAGGAAATTAACTCTCCAAAGGTCTCCTCTGCCCCTGCCTAGGTTGGACTTTCATGGTTTCTGCTCTGAGCCCTCCCCACAATGAGTGGGCATCAGGGGGCACTTTGGTAGGGGGCAGATCCCAGGGGAAAGCGAAGGGCTTCTCAGGGAACCCCCACATTCTCTCACTGAAGTTTCCCACCAGATGGTCCCATGGCCAGCGCCCCTTGGCAGCTCCTTACCCCAGGGTCCCCATCAAAGGAAAAAGAGGCTCAGAGTGAGAATCATTGTGAACAGTGACCTGTCTTGCGTGGCAGGGCTGAGGCCCACCCATTGTCACTCCCCCGCTCTGTGACCCTCTCCCCAGGTGTGAGGCTGAGGGCCTAGCTCCCTTCCCCATCAGAGCCCATGTCCCTTAAAATCCCCCTTTGGAGAGTTAATTGTCTGTGTGAGGTGCTTAACCTATTAGCCCTGAGAACACAAAGCAATAATCTTTGTTACTGAGATGCGCGGCTGTTCGTGTTTTGGGTTTTTTTTTTTTTTTTTAATGTTTCCTAATAAAAGAGAAGCTGCATTTTATTGGTTTTTATTTTTAATTTTCTACACGTTTGAGCTGAGTCCTGAGGGACTTAACTTCCCTCTTCTCCTGTCCCCTGATCCTCCCACCCTGCTGGGCCCACCCATGAGCTCAGGGCCCTGGAATTCCGTTTTCTGATTTGTTTCGGGAATTTTTTTTTTTTTTAAAGATGTTACATGGTGTTTCGAAGCCAGCAAGTTACCAACCTCCGGTGTCTCTTCTCTCTACATCTGTAACTTCTTTTTCCAGGTTTTATTTTCAGTTTTAAATTCCTAATAAATTATTTGAAAACGGTGCTGGGCTTTGAGTGTCTTGTGTCTCTGTGTGCATTCAGGTCAAGGTCCCTGGGGGATACCTCATTTTCCTGCTGTAGGGACGGCAAAACTCCACCTCCACCCTCTTAGGGTCCCAGCTGGGCCTGAGAGTTAAATTGACATAAGATAGATTAACAGGCGAAAACCATACAAATGTATTTAATACAAGTTTTACATTGATTAAAATGTACGGAGCCTTCACAAAGAAGAGCCAGGAAGCTGTCAGTTACTTATATCCTCAGTGGGACAAGTAAGCTGTGACAAAGCAACTAAATTGTGTGGGAGGCTTAAAAGATAAGAGTTATTTTAACGAAGTGTGTATGGAATTCTGTTGGTCTCAACTTCTCATCCTTGAAGATAAGGTTGTTGGTTTTCCTTATAGTATAGGGAAAGTGTCTTGCACATGGCAATTTTGTCTCCTGCTTTTAAGAAACAGTGCGGTGGAGGTCAGAGTGATCTTGCTCCTGCTGTTCTTCAAATGCCTCTAACTTACAGAATCAATATGTCTGAGTGGTGTGTTTTTAACTCCTTCACTGCCCTTACCCGTCTCCTATTTTTCCCTTGGAAATGATCCTTCCTTTCTACTTGTCCAAGCTTCCATCTCCAACTTGTTGACCAGCCTCAGACCTTAGCGTTGAGATATCACTTCATACCCATTAGGAAGTCTATTATTATTATTATTATTATTTTTTAAAAGGAAAATAACAGGGCCGGCCTGTGGCTCACTCGGGAGAGTGCGGTGCTGATAACACCAAGGCCCCGGGTTCGGATCCCATATAGGGATGGCTGGCTGGCTCACTGGCTGAGCGTGGTGCTGACAACACCAAGTCAAGGGTTAAGATCCCCTTACCGGTCATCTTTAAAATAAATAAATAAATAAATAAAATAAAATAAAATAAAAGGAAAATAACAAATATGGGTAAGGATGTGGAGAAATTGGAACCCTTGTGTATTACTGGTGGGAATGTAAAATGGTGTAGCTGCTATGGAAAACATGTTGGCAATTCCACAAAAAGTTAAACAGAATTACCATATAATCCAGCAATTCCACTCATAGGTATCTACCCAAAGGATTTGAAAGCAGGGATTCAAACATATTTGTACACCAATGTTCATAGCAGCATTATTCACAAGAGCCAAAACGTAGAAACAACCCCAAAGTCCATTGAGGGATGAATTGATAAATGGATAAACAAAATATGTACATATATAAATGGAATATTATCCAGCCTTAAAAAGGAAGAAAATCCTGTCACATGCTACCACATGGATGTATCTTGAGGACATTGGGTTACAGTAAATAAGCCTATGAATGAAATAATGTATGACTCTACTTATATGAGGTATCTAAAGCAGTCAAAGTCATAGAAACAAAGTAGAATGGTGATTACTAGAGGCTGGGGGAAGGGAGAGAAGGAGAGTTTAATAGGTACAGAGTTTCAGATTACCAAATTAAAAAGTTCAGTGATGTGAATATACTTAATACTAGTGAACTGTCCACTTAAAAATGGTTAAGATGGTAAGTCTTATGTTGTTTTTACCACAACAGAAACAAAATCCTTATACGTTAGAAATGCATACAAAAGTGTTCATGGATGAAATGACTTGATATCTAAGACATGCTTTAAAATATTCAATAAAAAAGAAGTATGGGGGTGTAGATGAAAGAAGATTTGGAAATGTTGATAATAATTGAAACTGGGTTTCATTGCATGGGTTTATTATACTAATCTCTACTTTTACATATTTGAAATTTTCATTAATAAAAAAAGAAAAATGGAAAGAAAAAATATATGTAGCATATATGAACTTTAAAGCTTAATACCCAAGAATCCTTACCCAACCGAATAGTCATTTTTTAAAAAAACAAACCAATAGTTTTTAAGCTGCATAACCATCAAAATCACCAAGGAAATAAAGAAAAAAGAAAAAAAAATTTATTTTCTTATCCCGAATCTGCGTCTTGTATTCCAAGAATCTGTTTTACTCTTTAAGTTTCCCAGGAGTCACTTGGGTTTGGGAACCACTGGCTACACATCACGCACCTTCTCAGGATAGATGGGGAGGTAGGGAGTTGTATTAGTCTATTTCTGTTGCTTATAACAAAATACCTGAACCTGGGTAATTTATAAGAAAACAAAATTTATTGCTTATAGTTTCAGAGGCTGGGAAGTCCAAAGTCCAGACCCTCACATCTGGGGAGGGTCTTCTTTGGTGGTGGCTTTACAGCAACGTAGGGGTCTCACATGGCAGAAAATGGTGGAGCAGAGAGAGTGCTCGCTCCTCATGTGCTCTCTTTTTAAAGTCCTCAGAACCACACCTATGACCTTATTAAACCATCAACTTCATCACTTCTTCAAGGCCCCTCCTTTTAATTACCATAAGAGGATTTCCCACCCTGAACAGTTACAGTGGGGATTAAGTTTCGGGGGACATTCAATCCAAGGCATTCTGCCCCTGGCCCCCCAAAACTTATGTGTCCTTTGCAAATACATTCATTTCATCTCCAAATTCTTAACTTGTTTCATTTCAAAGGACCAAAGTCTCATCTATGAAATCAAAACAAGTTATCTACTTCCAAGATACAATGGTAGGACAAGTATAGGGTACATATTCCCGTTCAAAAAGGGAGAGATAAGCTCAAAGAAAGGGGTAACAGGTCCTAAGCAAGTCTGAAACCCAGCAGGGAAGGCATCAAATCTTAAAGCTGAAGAATCATGTAACTTGACTCCATGTTCTATGTCTTCTGCATGCTAGTGCAGGGATTGGGTCCCCAAATCCTCGGGCAGCTCTGCTCCTGTGGCTTTCCTGGTCTTAGGCCATGCTTCAGCTCTCGCAGGCTGGTGTTGCACTTTGGTAGCTCCACAAGTCTGGGGTCTCCATGGCGGTCCCACTCTCACTGCTCCACTAGGCATGGCCTTAGTGGAGTTTTCCTGCTGCAACTCTGACCCCACATTTCCATCCTGCATTGCTTTAGCAAAGGCTGTCTGCAGTGACTTCGTCCCTGTGACAGATCTCTTCCTGGGTCCCCAGTATTTCCATACATCCTTTGAAATCAGAGTGGAGGCTCCCAAGCCTCCACAGCTCTGGCATTCTGGGAGCCTGCAGACCTAACACCACATGGACTCTGACAAGGCTTCTGGCTTGTAGCTTCCAAAGCTGCAGGTCCAGCCATACCTGGGTACAATTTAGCCACAGCTGGAGCAGCCAAAGCAGCTGGGGTGCTGCTGTGGGGAGCAGCATCCTGAGGTGGCCCTGGGCTGTGAGTCTATGGAGAACGCCTTGGGCCTGTTCCCCAAGAACATTATGTCTCCCTAGGCCTCTGGGCCTATAATGGAAGATGCAGCCTCCAAGATCTCTGAAATGCCTTCACGGTCTTTTTCCCC